CAATAAAAACGTCTCTAACATGTCCAAAACAAACACCACATGGACAAGTCGTTTTAATTTCCAAGTACTGAAGGGTGATATTGTTTCATGTCTAATGTATAGAGGCTGTGGGGTCATATAGGTCAATCTTAATAGAACTTTACACCAGGTGTTGTTGTCCTTGAGATCAATACAATGGATATATAGTCAAAGACTCCTAAACACCTGCACAAAAACTCCCCTGTGTTAAAGCTCCGGAGGCTTAGCTAACAAACACAAGCCGATTAGATATCAAATAAGAATTGGACTTTTATACAACTATTGCACCAGTGTTGGAACAGCTACAGACAAACGGACATTGAATATATTCTGCTAGCTATGGGTAACTGACATCCCTCCCTGTCTAGAACTGTCACAACCCATTCGATCGTCTGTGTACAGACACTAAAACTTGACCGTGTCTTTCCAAGGCCTGCTTGTCATCAGCTTGATACTAGATATATATACCTTCAATGAGAAGTCAGAAAATGTGATTTTCATATAGGCTTTTCTGTTACATGTACAACATACCTCCGGAAATCCAATATTTCATTTCAAAAGATGTAAAGTTTTAATGAATTCATCCTAAGTGTGTTAACTTATCAATTTAAGTATTTAAATGGATCCTTGTCCAACTTGTGACAACTCTGACAAAGTCATTCAGTGTCTTGTGTTCATCTCTGCCTTACCATTCATCTAAAATTTATCTTAATTTCGATGTTTGTGTTATATATGTTCAACTCGTGTATGCATGGACGATAAACAGACCTTTAGGTCATTTCAAGGGTCACTCTTGTCCACGATTGATTCGTCAATTAGACAAAAAGAGTGTATATAGAATATAGATACCATTTCATATCTATGCCTACATGTTTGAAACTTAAAGTTTATTCCTTCAAAAAACATCACACCTGTTAGAATTTAAAGTTGGAATTGTTTGCAGAAGTGTTACAAATGAGATTTGTTATCCCATCAACAAACTTATTGACAAATGTCAAATCTTAATATTAATGACATAGATAGACATACATTATTGACGAGTTTATGTAGCACAGTGACATTCAATATTGTCTGAATTCCTATTACAATCTGAATTCATGTTACGAAAATGTATATATTCATTACAGAGGACTTAACATCCACCTGACTTGAGTTGTAGGATAGATGTCTGACTTGTATAGTTACAATATAGGTGTATTTCTCGTGTATATTAATTTCCGCGTTGAGAACCCTATGAGAAGTTAACATGGTGTAGAGCCCACACCTGATAGTTAGAGGTGACAAATGACGTGGAAATAGCCCAATATTTTCCTTTTGTGCATAATAAGTCAATGTACAATTACTACGAACTAAGTGATTGTTATCACACTGGTCTAAATAACGTTAGATCATAAGGCACGCCTCTGGATGATGTCCAGCAAAACCTGGTCGACAGTATTGTCGTGTTGAAAAACACACATGAACACTTTTAACAAAGGGTTTTATAACCTTTAAAACCAGTAAATTATTTAATCAAAACGATTTTTTCCAGGCTTGTAATTGCTACTTTCATATAGCATACCCATTTACTCCAAAGTTCCAAAAACTAATTTCTCTCTCTCTCACTCTCTCTCTCTCTCTTTAAAATCTGATGATAATTTCAAACTCATACAACTTTGTACTGCTCTGTATGAGATACGCTGCTACAATCTATGCGCAATCCATGTATTGGCTCGGGGAAATGACGACCGTTTATTTCTCTGCCCTCTACAACGTTCTGTTTTTCTAATGTTTAGAATTTGTGCTAATACTGAAGGAAAACCGTGAACGTTTACACGACTATTCAAATCAATATAATGATAAATGGTTTTGTACACCAGAGTTTTTAATCATGTGCAAAAAGGCATTCAATCTTTCTCATCTCCTATATAAAACCGATATCGCTCGGATGGAAATTTTGAATCATTTCTACCGCACGCTTAAAGTAAACGATAAAATACATTCCCTCTCACAGCTAAACCATCGATTTTGTTGAATGGATTTCCGCTCTATGAAATGAACTTCCGGAAATAGAAATAGACACAAATGCTAATCGATGCAAAGTGATACAAGTGTATGAATTTGTAACGAAGGTGGAATTATTTCAGGATATTCCAAACTCGATAAAATCGAATCAAAGAATTCTATTTACTTTGGAAATATCTAAAAACCTCACGTTTTAAGCGCGAGCATGGACAATAAATACAGATATACATTGTACATAAAAAGATTATATGTCAGTTCCTCAGATCAATGAAGTAAAATTTCGTGATTAAAATGTATATAAAACATGAACAAGCTATATTTAGTCGGTATTTCGTACAAAGTAACCTGCATAGATTAGCCAAGCCATGTAATTTGATACAGATTTCAGTCGCTAACAGAACATGTACACCCGGCGTACTATAGGTTTCACCTGAAATTGTTATTGAAAATACCTCTTATTCAGTATCGTTTAAGTTGCCGTTTTAGATGTTTATTCTTTATATAAAGAGTCACGCCAAATGTGAATCTTGCGAGTGTAAATATAAAATAAGAAGTACAAACTACCCTGTTTCTTTTATTTTGTAACTACCGTTGTTTGCTTTGCTATGTTCTTCTGAATTAAGGAAACAGATAATTTATAAGCCACACTTTAATATATATTTCAACTAAACAAAAAGTAGGGATATATTGTTTTTGCCCTGTTTAAGAAAAAATGCTTTCATTTATTGATTTATTCCAATGTTTTACGATAGGTGAGGTTCCCGACACGTTTCTCAACAACCAATGGATGGAATTCGACGAAACTTCACACGAGTGTGTGTACAAATTATAGGAGATTTTCGACCGCTCATCCGCCGAGTAAGTCACTTCCACTAATTGATAACAATTTAAATACTGACTGATTTCGTTCAAATTCGGTATGGAGGGTTAATGCTGCTATTGACGATACGTAAGTGGTTCCATTTTGTAATCGTATGGCCGCCGTTTTCTACGACCTCCTATTGATGTCAATTCAGATATTAACCGACTTAAATCAAAGTTAGTATGTTCAACGTAATTTGTTTAAGTTACAATCATGGGATATCCGTGGTAAAAACGTATTTTGTTGAAATTGTACAACAATGGGATATCCGTGGTAAAAACGTATTTTGTTGAAATTGTACAACAATGGGATATCCGTGGTAAAAACGTATTTTGTTGAAATTGTACAACAATGGGATATCCGTGGTAAAAACGTATTTTGTTGAAATTGTACAACAATGGGATATCCGTGGTAAAAACGTATTTTGTTGAAATTGTACAACAATGGGATATCCGGGGTAAAAACGTATTTTGTTGAAGTTGTACAACAATGGGATATCCGGGGTAAAAACGTATTTTGTTGAAGTTGTACAACAATGGGATATCCGTGGTAAAAACGTATTTTGTTGAAATTGTACAACAATGCGATATCCGGGGTAAAAACGTATTTTGTTGAAGTTGTACAACAATGGGATATCCGGGGTAAAAACGTATTTTGTTGAAGTTGTACAACAATGGGATATCCGGGGTAAAAACGTATTTTGTTGAAGTTGTACAACAATGCGATATCCGGGGTAAAAACGTATTTTGTTTAAGTTGTACAACAATGGGATATCCGTGGTAAAAACGTATTTTGTTGAAGTTGTACAACAATGGGATATCCGTGGTAAAAACGTATTTTGTTGAAGTTGTACAACAATGGGATATCCGTGGTAAAAACGTATTTTGTTGAAATTGTACAACAATGCGATATCCGGGATAAAAACGTATTTTGTTGAAGTTGTACAACAATGCAATATCCGGGGTAAAAACGTATTTTGTTTAAGTTGTACAACAATGGGATATCCGGGGTAAAAACGTATTTTGTTGAAGTTGTACAACAATGCGATATCCGGGGTAAAAACGTATTTTGTTGAAGTTGTACAACAATGGGATATCCGGGATAAAAACGTATTTTGTTGAAGTTGAAAAACAATGCTATGTATATTTTTTGAACAACCTTTAACTTCAGTGTTAGATTATTCACAAAAAAATACATTTCTAAAACACGTTAATATCCTAAAACCGAACAAAAACTTCCTTCTGGATAGCTTGGAGACATCCCACCATTTACTGTTTCAAATCGGCTTTCAAATTGTCTCTGATTTCAATTGATACCCTATTCACTACTATTCCGTTACCAATAAAATATCAATTTGTATTTACACTTATAAAAATATAATTTTAAAAGTTTGACAAAAAATAGTTCCGACTGACATGATAGGCATAAAGTTGATTTTATACTCTGTATTTACCAATTAATTTGGATATTCGCTGTACTTTCTTAATACGGTACCCGTTTCAATTAGAGATCATTTATTTATTTCTGTTTGAAATTAAACAAACAAATTTATCGCTTACCATGACTACTGGTATTCTCTATATAAGTCCGAAGACTTTTACAATATTTTCTCGTGTCTAATCATTTTTTCCATAGTATAATGTACATTGCATCATCAATTTTATAAATTTCTCAAATATTTTTTCCGTGTACACGAGAGGAAGGATCAGCGCGACACCCAGTGTCCTAGAAGTAGTAGAAACTAAGTAAGGGATAGGTAGATAATGTGGGCACAAACTGGGTACAAATATGCCTTTACAGTATTACAGAAGGCGGAATATAGATTCTGATGTACACAATTATCATATAAGTTAATAGTTTCTGACATATTTAGATGACCGTATGAGATGTATATCAAACAGCTCACGTGTAAATTACATCACTTTTTTCCGTTTTGTTTCATTGGAGTGAAACTTAATATTCGAATGTCAAGAACTAATACCATAAAGATAACACGTGGGGGAAAGCGTAAGAGAAAAATAGTGAAAATCATAACGAACATAGAAGGGGTCAGACAAATCGATGAAGTAGATACACAGAAAAAATATTTGTGATCTGTAAAACCAAATTGACTTACCATAATAAACATGAGGAACGAGAGTAAACGACGTACTTCCACTGCCACTGCTAGAGGGTCGGGAACCCTGGTTATTGCCGAGCCCGAGCCCCAGGGGAAGAGACCTGACAGAAGATGGGTATGCCCCAGGGATGGCGGGAAGAGTGATCCCGCTCATTACTGTCTTATGTCCTTACGCCACAGTAAGATCCAAATAAGGCAATGCACGCTATTACCGTTACGATGCACACAGAAGGCAACTTCTATGCTGCATACGTGTTGGTTACATCCCCGTGGGTGGAGGAATTAGGGAGGGGCATCCATCACACGGATCCCTGGGCATTAGAACCCACGCTCTGTTAATCCGTTCGATAGCTGTCCTCACCACTGAGTGTTAGTTTTCCGTTAGGCGGCGCTATTTCTACCTACACCGATTGATTTTTGTATGTCTTCGGTATAATCTTAGATCTAGGTTGTCCTTAACTGTAATTCTGATTTAAACTACGAGGCTCGATAGTGACTCCTAGCGTTACCATGCATCAAGCCTGACCAACCATTGCAGAACTAAATCAGAATAATAGCGCTCGGACTTGGCAGACTTACGGTTAGCATTAGACTTTAATTTAAAGGTATATACAAATGAGAATCAGTCAACTGTTAACGATACAGTTTGCCAATACACAGACTTATCTACCGTACAACCGTTTTAACTCGGCTTAAAGTCCTAGGATAAAATAGCTGGGCAGAATCAAAAAGTGTATATACATGTATATATTAAATCTCAAGTTCATAAACAATTATACAATGCATATAAGCATTGCGTGTCACTTGGCTCGATATGTTTAATCGCGTGTTTATTAGTTAAAGATTAACACTTACGGCTGTTCAATTCAATTTGTAAGTGACCGACCAGCGGTCAGTGGGGCAGACAGGGTATTAACGGTTTACCACGGACACATAGCAGGAAAGATCAATTTTGTGACGCGGTTAAATAGGGATAGTTCTGTTCTAATTTGGAAATGAGTTATGAGACAAAGCAACATTGGAAAATCAGTTACAGAGAAGAGGTTAAAGGTTGTCTCCCTTTCGGTCACGATGTGTCCGATCAACTGTATCCCGTTACTTTAACGATCAAAGTAATTCGGTACAAAGGACGTATATTACATATATATTTCTTTCAAAGATAAAAGAAACCGTTAAAAATTAATTATCTTCGCTTCTGAACGCCGTCCTTCCTTCGTCATTGGTTAAAAGTGTGTGTGACACGAGACAAATGACAATGATGTATATTCCTGTTTATTTAATGAGTGAAAGGAGATGTTTTGTATTCAGTTAGATATTGTTGCGATAAGTAATATCCGCCGTGGTTTTCTTCTCTTTTAACATCATTTCCATATTTCACCCACGATAAACTACCAAACCTTTTTATAACGCCCAGTGATGCCGAACAGGTGACAATAGAAGGCTGAATATATATATACATAGAAGTATACTTTTATCTAATTTATGCAAAAAGAATTCTCTCTTCTTCTGTTCAATTTTCCTTCGTCACTCATTACCCCTGTCTTCACTCTCCCCTGATAATATTCTTTCTTATTTGTCAGCACTTTTCTCTTCTCTTACGCACACCGATCTTCTCAACCTTGTCCTTTAAAACTTCCAAACTTGACGTTATGTTCCCGTAAAGAACATGTATCGATGCCAAGGCTAAACAGACCAACTGATTGGTATAATCAATCAATAGGCGAACAGATCGATAAGGCATTGATTTCTTAACACTTTATGTTAACGTGCCAATCTCCAGCTTTTCGGTCGTAGCAATGCAACAGTAGGTAAGACTCCGGTGTATCCTTATCAATTGCCAGCTACAGATGTAACCTTAAAACCTAACGATAAAGCTTATAGTACTCAGACGCCCTCCAACCCACCCACCGCCATCTAACCCTAATATCTGCATAATAGGCTTTTATATTACAACGCATTTGATAGAGTTACCTCCCTTCATCATTTATTTTCCAAAAACCGAAGATTTTAACTTGGTAAAAATGGTTTGAAATTGTTGGATGCTTTCGGGTCCTTATAACATTAAATTACAGATGTCTTGTATAAACCAATTGTTCTAGAATAACTCATTTTTTCTGAATTCTTTACCAAACCCTCACTTAATAACACATAAATTATTCTTTCTAGTCGGCATAAGATTAGTTCGTATCTCGGACACCTAGTAAAATTAAGTATAGAGTTCTGTAACATAAACCCATACAGGATCACTTGAGTTGATTTAAGCATCATCAACAGTTCTTTTTGTACGATAGAAAAAAAAAACTTCAACAGCACCAGCAGCCAGTGTTTCGGCGCACCAAAACAGATAATTCTGATACGGGACGGGGAACTCCAATGATAGGAGTGGGCTCCGGTCATAACTGTTCGCAAACAGATGGACACACAATGAACTGAAACGCTATATCAGTTACCGGGAACCATTAGCTGGTTTCCTGATCATGCTGTGTCTCTTAGTTCAAAAGGTTACGTTTAGGTAAAACTCTTTATCATGTCTTTTTACCTTTCAATCTCCTTGGAAAAGACCCTCAGTAAGTAAAAGATGTGGCTGCAATAATCCTCGTTACACCTATCACAATCACGCTGAAACTGATGTTATATCCAGTGCCCAACAGGTTACATCGTCTTACATTATAAGGCAACATCTAGGGAAACATCGTCTGATAGTCTCATCATAGAGACCATCTACACGTAGACAGTAAATGATCTGTCGATGGTTCTTCTATCATGAGAAATATATATCTAGTTGTTAGAATGTGACGGTAATATTAATTACTAGAAAAGGTACTTGTTTACAGTACATTAAGTTCATTTTTAGAGATTATGTCAGAACAACCCTTTACCCATTGTTTCTTAGTATACTGACACATATTCTCTAAACAACCCATTGTTTCTTAGTATACTGACACAAAGTCTCTAAACAACCCATTGTTTCTTAGTATACTGACACAAAGTCTCTAAACAACCCATTGTTTTTTAGTATACTGACACAAAGTCTCTAAACAACCCATTGTTTCTTAGTATACTGGCACAAAGTCTCTAAACAACCCATTGTTTCTGAGTATACTGACACAAAGTCTCTAAACAACCCATTGTTTCTTAGTATACTGACACATAGTCTCTAAACAACCCATTGTTTCTTTTTATACTGACACATAGTCTCTAAACAAACTATCACCCATTGTTTCTTAGTATACTGACACAAAGTCTCTAAACAACCTATTATCCATTGTTTCTTAGTATACTGACACATAGTCTCTAAACAAACTATTACCCATTGGTTCTTAATATACTGACACAAAGTCTCTAAACAACCCATTGTTTCTTAGTATACTGACACAAAGTCTCTAAACAACCCATTGTTTCTTAGTATACTGACACAAAGTCTCTAAACAACCCATTGTTTCTTAGTATACTGATACAAAGTCTCTAAACAACCCATTGTTTCTTAGTATACTGACACAAAGTCTCTAAACAACCCATTGTTTCTTAGTATACTGACACAAAGTCTCTAAACAACCCATTGTTTCTTAGTATACTGACACAAAGTCTCTAAACAACCCATTGTTTCTTAGTATACTGACACAAAGTCTCTAAACAACCCATTGTTTCTTAATATACTGACACAAAGTCTCTAAACAACCCATTGTTTCTTAGTATACTGACACAAAGTCTCTAAACAACCCATTGTTTCTTAGTATACTGACACAAAGTCTCTAAACAACCCATTGTTTCTTAGTATACTGACACAAAGTCTCTAAACAACCCATTGTTTCTTAGTATACTGACACAAAGTCTCTAAACAACCCATTGTTTCTTAGTATACTGACACAAAGTCTCTAAACAACCCATTGTTTCTTAGTATACTGACACAAAGTCTCTAAACAACCCATTGTTTCTTAGTATACTGACACAAAGTCTCTAAACAACCCATTGTTTCTTAGTATACTGATACAAAGTCTCTATACAACCCATTGTTTCTTAGTAAACTGACACAAAGCCTCTAAACAACCCATTGTTTCTTAGTATACTGACACAAAGTCTCTAGACAACCCATTGTTTCTTAGTATACTGACACAAAGTCTCTAAACAACCCATTGTTTCTTAGTATACTGACACAAAGTCTCTAAACAATCCATTGTTTCTTTCTATACTGACACAAAGTCTCTAAACAACCCATTGTTTCTTAGTATACTGACACAAAGTCTCTAAACAACCCATTGTTTCTTTCTATACTGACACAAAGTCTCTAAACAACCTATTACCCATTGTTTCTTAGTATACTGACACATAGTCTCTAAACAATCCATTGTTTCTTTCTATACTGACACAAAGTCTCTAAACAACCCTTTGTTCCTTAGTATACTGACACATAGTCTCTAAACAACCCATTGGTTCTTAATATACTGACACAAAGTCTCTAAACAACCCATTGTTTCTTAGTATACTGACACATAGTCTCTAAACAAACTATTACCCATTGGTTCTTAATATACTGACACAAAGTCTCTAAACAACCCATTGGTTCTTAATATACTGACACAAAGTCTCTAAACAACCCATTGTTTCTTAGTATACTGACACAAAGTCTCTAAACAACCCATTGTTCCTTAGTATACTGACACAAAGTCTCTAGACAACCCATTGTTCCTTAGTATACTGACACAAAGTCTCTAAACAACCCATTGTTTCTTAATATACTGACACAAAGTCTCTAAACAACCCATTGTTTCTTTCTATACTGACACAAAGCCTCTAAACAACCTATTACCCATTGTTTCTTTCTATACTGACACAAAGTCTCTAAACAATCCATTGTTTCTTTCTATACTGACACAAAGTCTCTAAACAACCTATTGTTTCTGAGAATACTGGCACAAAGTCTCTAAACAACCTATTACCCATTGTTTCTTTCTATACTGACACAAATTCTCTAAACAATCCATTGTTTCTTTCTATACTGACACAAAGTCTCTAAACAACCCATTGTTTCTTAGTATACTGACACAAAGTCTCTAAACAACCCATTGTTTCTTAGTATACTGACACAAAGTCTCTTAACAACCTATTACCCATTGTTTCTTAGTATGCTGACACAAAGTCTCTAAACAACCCATT